TATATTGCCTGAACCATCAACCCATCTATTATTGGTCGATTCACCTTTTGAAGGGTTGGTTGTGCCCCCACGTTCTCTTTGAGAGTGGCAAAGGAGTGGCTGGCCCCTCTTAGAGAGAAAAGGTAAATGTTGTTATGGGGGCAATAGCTTTGAAATGTCTGTTCAGCGTGGACCTTAACATCCCCATTCTATTGGTCCCAAATATGTGGTTTCATCCCCTACATCCACCATGTTATTTTTCTGTTGTTTTAAAGTATGAACCGGGGACGGGGCCGAGTCCGGTCAAAGTGATTTTGGTCCGCGATACCGGAGAAGTAGCCCCCTCACCAGCACTGGTTTTGTGAGTGTGTCGAGGGTCAACCCGTTGAACTTTCCAAATGATCCTGTTGAAATCTCGGATGAACAGTTGAACATCTCTAATTAATTATATAGCCTATGATAATGTAAATATATTCCCATGAAATAGGGGAATTATATAGCCTATGATAGTCTATGTAAATATGGAATGTATTCCCGCGGCCTTTTTGTTTTTACCAACGGGACTTTCCACAATCTTTCGATGTGTCAGGTTCCACACAGCAATTGTAGGGGCTTCTATCAGCGATACTTGGCTGACGTCGATCGGGAGCAGGGATCGATTGTGATCATGGCTGGCTGGAGAATCCCTTGTAAATGGAGGTGTAAACGGTTTGATTACCGGATGGTAGTTATGATGTTTCCGATCAAAATATATAGAGATACAAAGTCATGTGCATACAGTGTCATATAGTAATTTTTGTCCAGCTGTATTAGTTGTTTAAAATATGTTCACGCTGTGGTGTTCCTTAGAAACCTTAGAGTCTGTTCAAAGAAAATCAATGGAAATCAATACTGTAGATTCAACGGTCTCGACTGGTTGCTGCTGATCGCACAATGGATCTTCAAGGCCTTCAAGATTGGTGATAGCTATACGGCTATGAGTCAAAACCGATCGAATCCCCTGCTGTTCACATCATGATAGCTGACAGTTATGGATGCTCAGATCCATGGCGTGTGTTTGTGGTGAACCTTTGGTACCGATGATACCCATGTCAGACTCATTATTCGACCGCCAGTTTGATCACCAAGGTGAGAGCTTCCTGATTCGCTGGGAAGATGAAGATACCTGGTCCCGCATTCCAGGTTTGGCCCTGGAACGGAAGGAGCAGCGCCAGGGAACTAATGGACCTGGTGGAAAGTGAAGCGATTTCTTTGTAAAGTCTGGGGGCCTGTTAGAGCTTGTCAGAATTGGAAGGCTGAAGACAAAATGTGTATTGCTGTGTACAACATGCAGTTGATATATGCGGTACAATTCAGGGAATTGTGTTCGGAAATGCTTGAGACAGAACAGACACCCAAGGAAAACCCAAGAAGACAACGAATCGCGATAAGTCTGTAGGTCTGCACAGTTGCAAATATATGCTACCCTCTGGTTATTTAACATAGCCATGGAAAATGACCCATTTATAGATGGTTTACCTATTAAAAATGGTGATTTTCCATGGCTATGTTAAATAACCAGAGGGTAATATGTTAGATTCAAAAGCCATCAACACTTTCACTGCACCCCAGACGAGTGCAAAATACTTCCAGTGATTCCAGTGATATCCTCAGAGATGGCCGGACATATGATATGTTACCGGGATACTTTCAGCTCCAATGGATTTTTACCATGATGACCATTCTCCAAGTAAAAGTGACCATCTGATTGGTGGTTTGGAACATGGCTGTTATTTTTCCATATATTGGGAAGAATGGTTTCCCAACTGATCAACTGACGAGCATATTTTTCAGAGGGGTAGGTATACCACCAACCAGTGACCATAGATTGGAGGCTAAAACCCATAAGAATTTAATTTGCATCTTCTGGCCTCGCCAGGAGGCCGGTCGAGAGGCCAGCACCAACAAATCCAGGGAGCAAACGGGGTTTCGATGGCACTGATTTTTCTCATGTGTCCCAAAGGTTGCCCCTTCCATTCAAGGTGCAGCTCTTAAAGTCTTAAAGTCGGATCAGGATGCTGACGGCATGTTGACGGTCCGATGACGGCCTTTTCTGTGCCAATGAGTAGCTAAGCCAAATTTTTAAATCCTCCATTTCGGTGACCCGAAGAATGTTTGGGGCCCCAGGGCGAATCGCACCCACCAACAAGCACTGAGGCCTTAGTAACAATCGGGCCATCGGACCATCAGGATTGCAACTTTGGGGGGAAGTGAATCAAATGAATCCCCTTGATATATTAAGAAGACCCAAGTCATGCAGGGTTTCAGTAGCTATTCTCTTGGGAAATAGCTCAGAAGAAAGTGGCAGCTGGCAGTCTCAGATTACTTCCCCAGAGATCCATTAGTTTTGCCCTCAAATCACCTAGGACAGGCATGGCAACCCTTAATTTCTTATCGATTGTGTTTGTATCCACAGTATATGTATTTATATATATATATATATGTATATATCTATATCTATGTGAGTTATTACAGTATAATATATATATATACGTAGAATTTTTGTAGTATATATATATATGTGTGTGTAGATGTATACGTATAATTATTAGATATACATATATATATACATACATTACATATATGTATATATACATACATTAAATATATATATATATACATACATTACATATATATATACATACATTACATATTTATATATATATATACATATATATATATACATTACATTACTGTGTATATATATATATACATATATATATATTACATTATTGTATACATATATATATATTACTTGATAATTACGTAATCTACATCACATGAGTTTATTTACTCTACATGACACACATACGCGACATATCAGTGCCGTTCAGTGCCCGCACAGGTCTTGCCCCTGCAGTACGACCAGCAAATGGCCAGATGGCTTCCATGGCTTCCTCTTCAGGCAGCGAACTAACTATGCAGAAATCCACCATTTTTTCATGGGAAAATGCACTATTTCTATGGTGATTTTCCATGGTAAAATGGTGATTTTCCATAGTTATGTAACAAATTACCAGAGGGGTACCTACAAAACTGGGTGATTTATGGGGTAAATGTTGGTATTCCATACATTGAGCATATGGCTATGGCTTCTTAGGGTTTCTGAAGGGTATCTTAAGGGTCTCTTATGGATTTGTGTTATGTTTTCGTATGGTTTCTTATGTTTCCTGTTTTCCACCGGCAGTTTTTGGGAACGTCGGCAATTTTTTGGGACGCCTCGGGCCTTGGGCTCGATACAAAATAGTGGCACCATCCTGAACCCTTTGGTTATGACATTCACAGTTCACCATGGTAATGCCATGGCATCGAAATAGATGGTTTACCGAACTTCAAAATGGGTCTTTCCATGGCTAACCGCACTTAAATAACATCAAATAACCAGATGGTACTTTGGCCGAGTTTGGATGCAACATAGCACTTTGATCGACCCATTTTTGGCCAATGATATTTGGACTTAGCGAAAGCCGCTGAGCCCTGCTTCGCTTCGGCCACTCAGAAATGGGCTCATGGTTTTCCTCATGTCCAGTGAATCCATACAAGGTGGTGCCCCCCCAGTTATAAGTTGGTTTATATTCCCACTAACTATAGATATAGCTACCATAAGTCCTAGTTATTGGAGTTATAAACCAACTTAGCTATCTTGGGGGCCCCACTTTGTAGAAGTTGTAATCCCAACGGCCTGGTGTTTTAGATCTGCCAAGCCATGGCAACTGTCAGGAGATGAGGCGACGGAGCTGCCAATGGTTGCCTTCCTTGAGCACTGAGGCAATTTCCAGACTCGCAGCGGTTTTTTTTGCTCCGAACAAGTTGATTTTGGGGGCTCGAAAATGGTCAATTGTTGATGAATCATGACGAAGCTGTCAACAAAAAACACACTGTTAGCCCAACTGGTTGGTGGTTTGGAACATTTTGTATATTTTCTATATATTGGGAATAGTAATCCAAACGGACTAATATTTTTTCAGAGGGGTAGGTATACCACCAACCAGCCCAAGAATTGTGTCCAGCTTTGGGCTTTCAGCCTTGGTCATGCACGGATCCACGGATTTGGCAGCTGGTGTTGTTGTTCCAACGCCACGAATCCACGAAGGTCTTGATCCCAGCACCTGACCCCCTCCACCCATCTTACCACAGCATCACATATGCTGGAGCATCTGCAAGGGAACATTACGACCAATATATATATATATATATATTGGTAGATTATATCATGGTTAATAAGGGAAATCATCCCCAAATGGCCTTAATTCAGGTTAGTGAAATATTATAATTTACCCAGATATGTACATATATATATATATATATACATGCTCAGAATGACACCTTTTGAGAATAGCCATAACTACATGTACGGTATGGCACGCATAGGTATAAAGAAATACCATTTTAAGGATGTTTTTTGAACCAACCATTTATCGTAAGTCATTGGGGATGGTTCACAAGCCCTGCGGAGGTTTCACTGCTGATTCAGCTGGCGGAGGACAAGGCACACTCGCAGTTTCGGACTTGATTTCAAAACTGCGGTGTTTTGGGTCAGATTCTGGTCCCAAGAAGCAGTAGAAATGAGTTTCCCTACTATTTTGATGGTGATTTACTCTTTCTGGCGGGTGAATGAGCAGAAAATCGAGGCAGTCTCACCCCAAAATCAGGGCATGTGCACCTTTTTGTTCGCGCCCTCAAAAAGCAGTGCGTGTGTTCGACAGATGCGAACCCAAAGCTAATTCCTGGAGGATCTTAGAGGCATTATATATGGTATTATATATATATATATATGTGAACCCATCATTATATATGGTAGATATTATATTTATATATATATGGTATTATATATATATATGGTAGATATTATATTTATATGGTATTATATATATATATATACGGGCATCAGCGTTGATTCGTTATTTGATTCCGTGGAACCGCTGGGTGACGCCAGGGCGACGCGGCAAAGGTGTGGCACCTCAAAAAATCTGGTGACCATCATGGCCAGCATGGCTTCTGCAGGGTTTCCTCATGGCTTGGGTGAGGGTTTTTACAGGGTTGGTAGAGGGTAAGGATGGGTTCCGTCGGGATTTGTTTTAAAAATGGTGTAGGATTTATTTTGGTTTGGTTTAGGGTTAATGTAGGGTTTTGTCAGGGTTTGCATGAGGGTTGGTTTAGGCTTTAATTAGTGTTGCTTTAGGTTCTTTAGGGTTGCGTTAAGGTTTCTTGAGGGACTCTTTTTTGTTGACGTTCCGTTTTTCCATGTTCCCATGGATTCCTAGATAGATAGATAGATAGATAGATAGATAGATAAATAGATAGATAGATAGTCAGATAGATAGATAGATAGATAGATAGATAGATAGATAGATAGATAGATAGACACATAGATAGATAGATAGATAGATAGATAGATCGATAGGTAGATAGATAGATAGATAGATAGATAGATAGATAGACAGACAGATAGATAGATAGATAGACACATAGATAGATAGATAAATAGATAGACAGATAGAGAGATAGACAGATAGATAGATAGATAGACAGATAGAGAGATAGACAGATAGATAGATAGATAGACAGACAGACAGACAGATAGATAGATAGATAGACAGATAGATAGATATATAGATAGACAAATAGATAGATAGACAGATAGATAGATAGATAGAAAGATAGATAGATAGATAGACAGATAGATAGATAGACAGATAGATAGATAGACAGATAGATAGATAGACAGATAGATAGATAGATAGATAGACAGATAGATAGATAGATAGATAGCTTTCAGGGGTGACCGACTCTTTGTTGTTGACTTGCTGTTTTCCTCCGGGTTCTTTGATCCTCCTCCCGGCTTCCGAGGGGTGACTAACTCTCGGTTGCTGACTCTCTGTCTCCTCTTCCTGGTTTCCCTGCATTCTGTGCTATTGTTCACCGGTGACTGACTTTGTCCTATGGGGTTCCTGACTCGGACGTTTGGAGCGACTGACTCGGGTGACTGACTCTGTTTTTGCCGTGGACATGATTGGTATTAGACATGATGGTTTTATGCCACAATGTTTCAAACATCTTCAGATATATTGATTGGATTTGATTGGCAGTTATGTTTTGAGTTTTGATTTCATACATACATCTGGGTAAATTATATCGACCTTACTGTTCTCCCTCGCTGGAATCATGGTTAATAAGGGAAATCACCCCCAAATGGCCTTAATTCAGGTTAGGAATATTATGATTTACCCAGATATATATATATATATATGTGATATATATATATATACCATGATATTACCCACTATCCTCCTTTCAATGAGTAAGAATGGTTTGCCCTATTACAGTAAAGATTTGCCGAACTATGTCAATACACTGAATACACCCAGTTATTATATCCTATTACATCCCATTGTATCCCAGTGTCCCACTAAACCCACGGAAAAACATCCCCCATAGATATGGAGGTTTCCTAAGTCATGGAGGAGGCACCGAATCATCCAAGTCGATGACCATGACTTAGTATTGAAGCCCATGGGGACATATGGGGACTTGGTGATCCCCCATTTTAGGAAACCTCCATATGATCAACGGGAATTTCAGGATCCTAAAATGGAGGTACTGTACCATATAAGGCCATATTTTGTGGTGATATTCACTTACATAGGCCTTATATAGGCCTTCTATATGGTAGGTACCTCCATTTAAGGATCCTGAAATTCCCATTGATATGAGATCGTGAGTATTCAAGCATTCAAGCGTTTACGTCTCATTTTTCAAGGAAACCTCCATAAAACCTCCCTATATGTTTTGGGTAACAAAGATATATTATTCAAGCGATTATATGTGTCATTTATGCATTTTGATTAGCCGTATTGTGAACATATAATCATATCACTGTAAATCATGATAGTTCTGGGCAAATTATTGTGACCTCTCTGTGACCTCACTGGAATACTGGTTAGTAAGGGGAATCATCCCCCTTTTTTCAGATTAGTGAAATATTAAAATTTACCCAGGTTCATAGAATTGGATGATGGGAAAATTTACAGGAAAGCCCTATATTTCATGGTAAAAACCATGGTTTCCTGTAGATTTTCCCTTAAACCAACCCAATGACAGGTATATCCCTGCGCTTTCTGCAGGTGGAACTCTGCTCCCAGCGATCGCTACGAGAGCTGAAACAGCAACTGCTGAAAGCCCTAGAGGCGACAGCTCCATTGGTGATGAAAAATGCTGAAAACATGGGGTGATATGTGGATTTAAAGTGTATTCAATGTGGATTAAATGTGGGTTTAATGTGGATTTAAAGTGGATTAAATGTGGATTTAATGTGAGCTTAATGTGGATTTAAAGTGGATTAAATGTGGATTTAATGTGAGCTTAATGTGGATTTAAAGTGGATTAAATGTGGATTCAAAGTGAATTTAATGTGGATTAAATGTGGATTAAATGTGGGTTTAATGTGGATTTAAAGTGGATTAAATGTGGATTTAATGTGAGCTTAATGTGGATTTAAAGTGGATTAAATGTGGATTTAATGTGAGCTTAATGTGGATTTAAAGTGGATTAAATGTGGATTCAAAGTGAATTTAATGTGGATTAAATGTGGATTAAATGTGGGTTTAATGTGGATTTAAAGTGGATTAAATGTGGATTAAAGTGTGGATTTGTGGTTAACAATGGTTAGAGATGGATATTTTATGGTTGATGTTCATTAGTCACTTGCTCTCGGATGTTATTAGTCACATGGCCATGCGGGAAATCCCCAGTTTCTGGGGGCAGAATGGACAGAATGAGGGACCCCACGATGTGACGGATCCAATACCAAACAGGGGGTTTGGTGTGGGGCCTGTGGGAATATTATGATTCGGGGGAAGTGGTTCTGGATGATTTAAGTCGAAAAAATGCAGTCGTATCTACCAGACCTGGGATCCATTCGTCTGAAGATTTTCGAGTGCACCATCCACCCCTTTAGCCAGATTTGTGGATTGTTTTCCCTACCAAGACATAGACCATGCTGGTGGATTGGGTCCTGACTAGGAAGCAAACCATGTCCTTCTTGAAAAAACTGTTTCAGTCCTCTTCAGGAAGATACAGCGGAAGATGGCGACAAAAACGATGGGGGCGAACTACCGGAAGTCTGGGTCTTAGATAGTGGTGAATAATCGGGTCAGAATTTAGAAGTTCTGAGTTGGATCCCAAATTTCCATCAAAATGCTAAATTATATACATATATATACATATATATTATACACATATATATATATATATATTATACATATATATATATATATTATACATACATATTACACACATATATACGTTATACATATAGTTGGATATTATGTGTATATATATATATGTATCATATATATTTATGTGTAGTATTCCCATGTCATGTATTCCCTGTATCATTTTTTACATCTTGGACCTCCCCGAGTCCCGAGACTTTCAAACGGATCCCAGGGACAGTGTCGCCTGGCTGCCTTGCCGGACTTGCTGAGAAGGTTCGCCCGGTGAACCATGGAAAAATCCAATAAGATTAACGTAACACTGAATGGTGGTATTATGGTGGTTAATAGAGGTTTATATATAATAATCATCTAAGGTCTCGTTGTTAATAGCGGTCTATAAGAATCATCTCAAAAGTTATTGTTAATGGCGGTTTATAATAATCTTTTTAAACACTAGTTGTTAATAGCGGTTTATAATAATCACCAAGAAGCTAGTTGCTAATAGCGGATTTTAATGATCATCCAAAAAAACTTGTTGTTAACAACGGTTTTTAACATTCATCTAAAAAAATGGTTGTTAATAGCGAATTTTAATATTCATGTAAAAACTCGTTGTGAATAGCGTTTTATAATAACTATCTCAAAACTGATTGTTAATGGCGGTTTATAGTAATCATCTAACAAACTAGTTGCTAAGAAAGGTTTATAATAATCATCTAAAAACTAATTGTTAATAGCGTTGTTTAATAATCATGTAAAAACTTGTTGTTAATAGAGGTTTTTAGTAATCATCTCAAAACTTATTGTTAATGGTGGCTTACCATAATTGAATAATATTTAAAAACAAAACTAGTTGTTAATAGCGTTTCTTGTAATAATCATCAAAAAACGTATCTGACAAAAGCGGTTTTTAATAATCTAAAAACTAGTTGTTGATAGTGGTTTTTAATAACCATCTAAAAACTAGTTGTTAATACGTAAGCAGAAAATCACCTATAAACTCGTTGCTAATGGCAGTTTATAATAATCATGTAAAAACTCGTTGATAATAGTCGTTTATAATAATTTTCTCAAAACTTGTTGTTAATGGAGGTTTATAGTAATAATCTAAAGACTCGTCGTTAATAGCGGTTTATAATCATCTCAAAAACTAGATTAAAATTGTGGTTTATAATAATCATCTAAAAAAATAGTTGTCAATAGCGGTTTGTAACAATGATCCAGAAACTAGTTGTTAATAGCGGATGATAATAATCATCTAAAAAACTAGTTGTTAATAACGGTTTTTAACAATCATCTAAAAAACTAGTTGTTAATAGCGTGTTTTTGAATCATGTAAAAACTCGTTGTTAATATATGTTTTTAGTAATCATCTCAATTTTTATTGTTAATGGCGGTTTCTAATAATCATTAAAAACAACTAGTTGTTAATAGTGTTTTATGATAATCATCAAAAAAGTAGCTGACAATAGCAGTTTATAATAATAATCTCAAAACCAGTTGTTCATAGCGGATTATAAGAATGATCTAAAAATCTAGTTGTTAATAACGGTTTTTAACAACCATCTAAAAAACTAGTTGTTAATATACTTCAACAGAAAATCATATATAAACTCGTTGCTACTGGCAGTTTATAATAATCGTGTAAAAACTCGTTGTTAATAGCCGTTTATATTAATTTTCTCAAAGCTTGTTGTTTATGGAGGTTTATAGCAATAATATAAAAAAAACTCGCCGTTAATAGCACTTTATAATCATCTCAAAAACTAGACGAAAATAGCGGGTTATAACAAACATCTGAAAAATAGTTGTTAATAGCGGTTTATAACAATCATCTAAGAAACTAGTTCTTAATAGTGGTTTTTAATAATAATCTAAAAACTGGTTTTTAACATCGGTTTATAACAATCATCTAAAAAACTAGTTGTTAATAGTGGTTTCAACAATCATGTAAAAATGCCTTGTTAATAGATGTGTATAATTTAATAATCATGTAAAAACTCGTTAATAGCGGCTGAATATAGTTATCTAAAAACTCGTTATTAACAGAGGTGTTTGTTCCTTATTAAAAAACTAGTTGTTAATAGCGGTTTATAACAATCATCTAGAAACTAGTTGTGGATAGCGGTTTATAATAATTGTCTCAAGACTAGTTGTTAATAGCGGTTTCTAATAGTCATCTAGAAACTAGTGGTTAATAGCGGCTTACAATGTTAATAATCATTTCAACACTAGTTGTCTATGGTTATATATATATATACATAAATAATGATAATCTTCGTCTGAAACCTAGTGGTTAATAGTCGTTTAACGATGAATAGTGGTTTGTAGTTTTGAACAGTGAACCATGAAAAAAAACATTGTTTTTAGTTTTACGTGGGGATAGTAGTATCTGGTTTATTGGGGATTATGATAACACATGATGGGGATACTTTTCAGCCAACCAGTATACTGGGATGGGATAGGGGTATGTTTGATGGCTCAAGTAGCCCTAGAAAAATTAGAAAATGTAAGTATATGGTTAGATGATGCCAGATTATGTTAGATCATGTTAGTAGGCTATCCCAGAGTTTTCGTTGTTGGAAGCATGTGTAGAGGCAGTTGGTTTGTAGATCGTTTGGTCCGTAGAGACGCAGAGAGATAGATGCATGCCAACATGGGATTTGGATTCCAGTATATAGAATATATATATATATACAAGAATATTATACGTATTATATAGGTATATGCATGTTCATACTTAGACCCTCCAAGTAGCCACAAAAATGATGTTTTAGGCCAGGCCTCGGAGTAGGAGGATCAAGCCGCCAGGTGTCGTGTTTGCGGCCTCTCACTCGCAGAGGCTCAAAGCAGCGATACAAAAAATGGGATGGTAGGGGGTGAAAAACCTTATGGGAAAAACAATATGTTATATTTATAATAAGAAAAATGGGGATTAAATGGGAAACAATGTCTATAAATCCTTATGGTTATAAGTTATAATATGTGATATTTTTATATGTGGGAAAAACAATGTCATAAACCACCCATTTGGGAATGGTAAACATACCACCTATTTATGGTGATGACTGGGGGATGGTGTATTATTGTTTTACCCAGATTTTAGGTAACGGGCATATTCAATTGTCAATGGGAATAGCTAGTGTACTTGGAGGGTCTAGGTATAATGTCAAGTTAGGATGACTAATCAACCTTCCCCCTAGAGGGTAGGTGGCTAGGGAGAAGGTTCTGCTAAGGTTCTTCCCCTAAATAATCGACCTCCTAAGTTGAAGTCATAAGAGATCAACTTCCAATGGGGAACCCAATTGTGGGGGAAGATGAAACCAATGGGGAACCATAAGATTCCTACGAGGAAGATGAGGAAATTAATGGGGAACTGGCAGATGCATTGATCAGAAATATAAATGATCATAGCTGTGTGCTGTGGAAAAAACAATGGGCAGCATGCGGGAAGAGTTGGAGACAGCAAGGGTTTATCAGCATCCATGAGAAGCAGAAGTTTCAGCCAGCATGATTAGTTTCTTTTAGAACTAGGGTTGACAAACCAAAAAAAGGAGTTCCTGTGTGGTGGTTGATGGCTTGGGAGATACACCCCCGGTATATTGATCAGGGGGACCCACCCATTTTAGCATTGCCAAAACATTTTTCCTGTGTGATGGGTGATTCATCTATAGTACATTTTTCATCCTATCTTACATTATAAATAATATATATATATATATGTCTGTGTGTGATTAATGCGAATATTCAATGGGAAAACATAATTTAATGGGAAGAGCATCGGAGAATCGTGGATATTTTCTATGCTGTGTCTCTCCACATGTACACTGCATTTTTCGGAGCGAAACTGCAAGTCCTGTTTGGGAATTGCCAAACTGTTCGGGAAAAAACTTGTCAGAACATGGCCACCTACAGCGCATCCCAGTTTGCCGGATGGGTATAAACATCCATAAGCATGCATAAAACAATATATAGGGGTCCCTGTGACCAACAGGACTTGTTAGTTTTGTGATGTTTTCTACTAGCCATCGTTTTTTCAGGGTATCTGCGTGGACATGCTCAGTGTTTCGATCGAAGATGAACGTGATACCAGTGATTCATGCTTACTTTGGAGGACACAATTGAGTGTCCAACAAGGTGGAAAGTCACCGGGCTTGGGGTTCCTTCAATTCACAGCACCGCATGAATCATGACGGGCTGGTTGTTTCCAACCGATTCTTATTCTTATCGTCTATCTTACCTAAAGGAGCCTGAAGGATCCAAAATGGTTTACTGACCATAAAAACTGTTGTATAAATTCCCCCCGGGCGTTTGGAACCATAAGATAACTTGAAAGACTTACTGTAGAAATAAAATCATTTTTCTATAATATTATATTATATACATATACAACATATACACATTGTGTGTATGATTGTGGCTCAGGACTATAGGATTGACTCCGTGGAGTTTATATAGACAAAACAGTTCTTTGATCAAGTTCCCAGCTGTTGGTAATCTCCTATAACTGCCCCCCAAAAAGAAGAGCGACCCAATACGTTTCAACAGGGTTTCCTCTGGCGGATATTTATTTTAAAGAGGAAGCGATGGGAAAATCATCAATGGGATATCCTGGGAGTATAGTTTGGGAATAGAAGTAGGAATAAAGTAATACAATTCCAATTTTCCAATTGGGAATTGCAGACATCTATGTCCTATTCCCATTCATCATGTTTCCATCACACATGACATTCCCATTCTCCCAACAAAAAACCTCCACAGAAATATAGAATCAGGATACCCTCTGGTGAACTAACATAGCAATAGAAAATCACCATTTTTAATGGGAAAACTCACTATTTCAATGGCCATTTTCAATAGCAAACTGTTAGTTCACCAGAGGGTATTCCCAATGACTTCCCAACGATTTCCCAATAAAACCACCAGGCTGGTTTGGGCAGTGGCCCGGACGGCTCGCGACTCGAGAAGGCGGAAAGAATCCTTCGGTTTCGAAGTAATGATATTAGATGATATTAGCAATACTATGGGATGATATTATGATGATATTTATGGGGATAACTCTAGTATTATGACATCCTATAATGCCAATAGTAATCTAATAGTTATATGGAATGATAAGAGTAAAACTATAGGAATGGTTCAATGATCATCCCAGTAGTAAACATATTATCATTACGATAATACAAGTAATATAGTAAACATAATCGTATTGTTATATTATTACATATATATTTCGATTCTCTGCCAATAGGAACAATAATAGTCGTTGTCACAGTGATATTGAAGATAGTATAATGATAATAGTGATGAAAAAGTAATTGTAATAATACTGATAATGAAAATAACATCATGATAATGGAATGCTACATTTTTTCCGCATGGGGGTACTTAATAGGGATTTAATGGGATATAACTGCGAATATCTATTCATAATGATCAATAGTAGTGGGATGAATATTAAGCTATCCTCCGGTGTTATCAAACCTGGCTGGAAAATAAAAGCACTAAATGCAGGTTTTCATTTAAAACATCGAACTCAATGGGGACTTTTCCAGAAGTTTGATTACCGCAGGCTGCCAGATATTTCATGGGGATGTAACAGAGATATGATGAGGATATAATGGGTATTACGGTATTTCTAGGTATATGATTTGGTGATATATTGGGGATATAGCGAGGATATAATGGGGATATTTTTAATAATGTGAACTGTGGAGAATGTATGAAAATGGAAGATTACCACCAATGTATTAAATTATGACAATCTTAATGGGTGTTTAAATGATTAATCCGTGGTTTGGGTGTAAAGAATTTCTGTTTGGGGGACAAACCCACCTGAGATTTCTTTCAGATTTTGATTTCTGCATGGTGCATGTTGTATAGGGTAATAATTTGATATCTAATACATGGCAATATATGTGCAAGTGCACGATATGTGTCATTTCCATATCTAGCAAACATTACCACAGTGATCCTCAGTGACTACGATGTTTCAGGATGAATGCACCCGATTTCCATTGTCTCTTGGCTGGACGTTAAGCCGGGCCTGTCACCACGTGCCACGTGCCCCAGACACTTTTAGCTCTCCGCAGCGGGCAAGCAGTGAGCCCAGACAATGAGGCCGAAGTTGCAACATTGCGAGAGTTGTCCTACAAAGACAGTAATGATGATATAATGGTCGTATCATGGTCATAGTGATAAAAATAATACTGAAAAAAACATCTACATGTTTTGTTGTTTAGGTAAATTGACATTTATAGTAAACCTTAAACATTGAAAACCGATACGGCAGGAAGCTGCTTTGGGAGGCTTGACCAGGCCGGGCGAGGGTTTGGTAGCCAGTTTCAAAAAAGATTAGGCACCGAGTGGTTCCTAAGTTATTAATGGTTAAAAGTTGTTATTATTGGTTACTGCCGGTTAATGGTGGTTAATTGATAATGATTAATACTGGTTTGTAGTGTGAAAAATGTGTAATAATGTGGTAGACCCAAGGATGCACCTACCATTAGCCTACCATTTGGGGATGTTATCATATGTTTTTATCGTGTTCACCACATTAATCTATATAAACATTCATCATCAATAATCTTGCATATATCATCTATTCTCTATGATTTATCATCGGTCATTTATCATCTATCTGGGTAAATCATAACGACCTCACTGCGACCTCACTGGAAATCATAGTTAGTAAGGGGAATCATCCCCAAATGGCCTTAATTCAGGTTAGTGAATTATTATAATTTGCCCAGAATCTATCATCATTATAATTGTCGTCATCGTCATCATCCATGATATAACTACGTTATCCTTTTGGATCCAAGGACCTTCTGAGGAAGTATGCCGGAGGTACAATTTACAACGTGAAGTACCTTCAAAGGAAGTGTGTGGTTCCATAGGGAATATTAGTTGCTAACCCCCTAATAGTATGGGTAACATCAGTAATACAGCCCGAGAGTTGGTTAAGAATCCGAAAGCTTGAGGCGCAGGGTCCCTCAAATTCTTATTTTTAAATGCAGGCAAATTTCCACCGCAATAGGTCGAGGGACCCTCAAATTCTTAGAGCATTCTCAGTTATGTATTGTATGCATCTGCGCTATTTGGAGTTAGCTTAAACGAGGTAACGAGGTGGAGTTGGCAGATTTAACAAGGGGCATACGGAAAAAACATTTTTTCAGGCTTTTGCAAAGGCGGGTGCCAATGAGTTTCACCAGGGCAGTGTCGAAAACAATTTGTCAGGTCGCGATTTTTTTTTCGCAACCGCAACCCAAACCAAACCCCAGCCCCTTGCAGCCAGCTCAGAGAGTAAGAAGGCAAATTTCTCAGGAGGCAAGGGTCCTGTGGCACAACGGGTAGGGCATCAGTCTTCAGGGTTGAAGGCCTTGAGCTCAAAGCGCGAAGGGGCTTGTGTTGCGCAACCTCTCGGGTCTGCCAATTTGTGGTTTTCTTGTGGTTTCCTTTCGTCTGCTTTTCACAATCACATCACGGGGAAAACAATGTTTCAGGTTCCCAATTCTATCGACGCATAGATAGTGAGTGGACTGGAAGCAGTCCAAACATGTGCGAAGAAGCAGTTTTCGGAGCCTGAAAAATTGTTTTTCTGCAAAGCCCGATTTTACCCCATAAGGCCATAAGGGGCCATTCCACAAAAAGGAACCGCAAAGGGGAATGGCAACCTTCCAGTTCCCATCCCACAAAACCCACAAAACCTCACGTGTAAGCAGTAATTTAAGAATTTGGCAATCCTATTCCAGGGTCCCTCATATTCTCAAAGTACTATGTGCTTGGTACAGCTGAAAATATGTAGCCAGCATTGGATCCGAGCCCCTCAAATTGGATCCGAACCCCTCAAATTCCTGTACAGTGCATTCTTATACAATACTCAAGTTCTATTAATAGCCCCAACAATGGCCAAATATTTTACCATACTGTACTAATCACTTTGATTTCGAAAAAATAATCCCAAAATGAAGATTAAATAATGATATGCACATAACCAGAATCCAGTTGAAATAATAATCACAAAATGAAAATTGGCCTAACATTTTTTATATCCTTTGTTGGAGCGCTCGGAAGGTGTTCTCGCCCAGTGAGCAATCGGAATCGTGATAATTCGATATACCTCGTACTTACAGGACCCTATGTTGAGCAACATATTTAAATATACAATTTCAAAATGTCAGTTCGATACCCATGAGCATTTGAAAAAGGGATGGAAACACATTGGTTTTCATGCGCTGAAACAGCGCTGGAGGGCAAAACAGCCTACTGTATCAGTCGGTCCTGTATCAGTTGATTTCAGAGGACAAGAGCGATTGAATATTTTTCTCATTCCATTTACTGGTTAGATTAAAAGAGGGAAGAACGGATGTATACAGAATGTTGCCCAGCGATGGCAAATCGGTTGCTGTGTTCTTCCTAATATTGATCGGCCACCGGTCCAGCCTGAAGATGGTTCCTCGTTTTTTTTGCAAGGAACGTTTGGTGTCGCAAAAAAATCACAAGTTGGGTTCTGATGGGTTAGTTGGTTTTTAGACAGCTTGATGTATTGTATTTTGTACACATATTGTATTCTATGTGGGTCTGTCTGAAACTGCAGGGGAAACTGCCAAATGTTGTTGATTCATCATCATTTCACCAGAAACTGAGGGTTACCTGACATAAGCTACCACCATATTATGTCACTTTATATCATGTTATATCATATTTTTGGGTAGACATGTCCCATTTTCAGTAACAGACCCAAGGATTTGGGGTTGAAATCTCGAGGTGGCTGCAATGGCTCCGCAGCTGGATCCCCCCAGGGTCAAGGCAGGCGATCCTGGCGATCCTGGGAGATTTCTGGTGGATTTCATGGGGATTCCACCCCGCCCCAAGGTTGAAAGATGAATATATTGGATAGTTTATATTTATAGTAGATAGAACACACATATATATATATATACATGAATAGTTGATACTATGATAGTTGATATTCCAAGTTTTTGATGGTTTTAATAGGTTGAAGTTTCAGAATAGACATGTGTCATGGACGTTGCGCTGACACTGGTTGGTTGTCCGAAAATGGTCCAATCACTACCTGGGATGATACTTTCTTGACACCTTGCCCATCATTTTCTGCGACTCGAAATTGAAAGTGTCATTTTCTCCAATTGATGGGTACACTAACATGGCAGATTTCAATTATTTTTTTTGTTTGGAAGTAAAGACACCCATTTAAGACCCACGTCTCACATGTCCGTTCCTCCAGGATAAACATTGATGCTGCACTAGATAGCTTGAAGGTGCGGACGGGGCAAAAGAATATCAAAAAATGCCCTGCAGTCTGGTGTGGGGGGTTCGGCAATTTTCAAGATTGGTCTTCCACCAAGAGCACTGTTCAATTCACCACGGTTGATCATACCCTCTGGTAAACTAACATAACTATGGAAAATCACCATTTTTAACGGGAAAATCCACTATAAATGGCAATTTTCAATAGTTTTCTGTATGTTTACCAGAGAGTATTTGTCGGGGGCTACTTTTTATGGTGGGGATTCCTATCGTCAACTTCGAATGGAAATGAGTTTGCTGCGGTGGCTGCAGCTCAATTTCCTCTGATCAGACACGTCCGAGAATGTCTTAGACTTACATTAACGATTTCAAAGAGCATCACTTAATCCAAAACTGTGGTGCATGTTGTGTTTTTTCTGCTTTGGCCCATGCGCAGTGTGGAGATATGTTAGAAGAGATGGATGAAAACCTGCTTGCACCAGGAGAGGCGCTTGGAAGCTTCCAAAGGTGGAGCTGCGCTGCGTTGCTCGAAGGTGAGGATGGTGAGGGAAGAAGAGTTTTTCTTCGGCTGTTGGCCTAGCACTTGTGCCATGTGAATCATGTGAATAAGTGGCTTGTCACTCACAAAAAAAATCACGATGTGGTTGCGAAATCCTGCACCACCAAAAGGATGGTTGAAACCGTATGAAACCCAAACAAAATCATGGGATGTTTACCATCTGTCAACTGGTGATTTCGCTGGCCCTTCCACAGTATCACGTATATCTTGGGATGATTCTTGGGATGTTGAATCCACCGAGCAACACAAACCCCAATACTGTAGGGGGCCGAGGCACGCAAAAAAGCAAAACAGCCTCCAAACCCATCCCAAACGACATGTTGAACACATCTCAAATATATATATATATATATAATTGGATATATATATATATATACATATATTATAATATATGTTTATATATATAATTATATATATATGTTTATATGTATATATGTATATCTCTCAAAATCCCCAGGAATCCCATGATTTCCAGAATTTCCCCCCACTGTTTTCAGGTCCCAGACATGGCCGAACGGTGGCCTCCAGTGACCGGCTTCAACCAGTCCGGGTGGAAACCTCCATCGTTGGAAAAAAGGCATTGGGAAAACCATGGGAAAACCATGGGAAAACCATGGTTTTTATGACTTTCCATTGGGAATAGATGGGAAAATCCATAAGAATAATACAAATTGGTATCGAATATTTAGAGATAAGCAGATATTTTGGGAATGTCATCATCAACTGATATGAATATATTATAAACGAATATATCATATATCATATGGAATAATCAGTTGGGAATAATATATGGAAAAGTCAGATATATCTATATATCTAAAAAATCTATAGTATTCGCATATATCGGGAATGTATATATGAATGTCATCATCCCAACTGACGAACGAATATATTTTGCAGAGGGGTAGGTTGGTCAACAACCAGTGATGGGTTTCAGAAAGGTTTAAACACAATGTTTAACATAATTTTAACATATGTTTAACACATATTTGAGATGATGTTCATAGCAATTTTTGACATGGTATGATATATGTATGATATATGGTGAAAAACGGTGGTTGAAACATGTTGAAACAATAATCATCTCTGAAACTATCTCATAGGGATATGGCATGTGCGGTGATTCAATGGTGGTTAAACCAATAGGGATATTGTCTGATATAGTTCAAACATGTGAAACAACCAATAGGTGCAAACATCTATGAAGTAGTGGTTGGGATAGAACATGGATAGAAAACCTCAATCAAGCAATGATTACCGACAATGGCTATGTTAGTTTACCAGAGGGTATCTTGGGCCCGTTTTCCAGTTGCCATCTCTACACGAATAGCCAGCACATTGGGAGTTGAAAGGCCAGCCAGTTGGCTTTTCTTGGGGGTCCTCATGCAGATGCACCATCCTGAATCTCATGCAGATGCATCTTAGATAATCTTAGAATCTTCCAACATCTTCCATCCGCCAAAACTGCCAAGACTGCCAAAACGGGACCCAAAACGGGACAGCTGAGGTTTGGATTTGCCACCTGATTGATAGCCATCAACTTCTAAAAGATGCCACTGAAAGGTGGGCCTGGCAGGATTCGTGCTGTTTTTGGAGTTTCTGAAAGTTACGTAGCCATGTTTTGTGTCCCTGAATCACCCTATCAACATGTTTCGTTCATAGTTTTCCCTATTAAAGAGCTGGGGGTAACCGAATTTCAGACAAGCACTCATGATAGCTATGTTCTGTCGATGTGTTTATTTCCAGGTAATCTCAACGATTCCTTCGGGTCTCCTTGGGGGTTCATTGTTTGGCAGCCAGTGAAAAATCATCAAACGTGGCAATTGGAAATCACTCATTTATACATGATGATCCCATTAAAAGCTTCATTTACACGGGGATGTCGCCCATGGCCACGTTGCAGGATATGTCAAGTTGAGGCAACATCCATGTCAGCGCTGCCGAGGCTCATGAAAGAGCTGAATACCCTCAGGATGAGGCGACTTCAAGCGGATACCCTTCGGTTTCATCATGGCCGGGAAAAATATTTTTAAATGGAGCTTGTAATCGGAAAATCATGGAACCATTGCTGATGTTCCGGCAAAGCATTTTTGACTACCAGAGTCTGTATGAGATGATGCACATTATATAGGTGGCACAAAACCATTGGCATAGTATCGTTGCTTGAAAGAGTCAGCTGAAACTAATGATTCCTGTGTCCGTTTTGACATTTTGAGGCCTGGACCTGGATTGTTTGTCAATTGGAAGTGAAGCAGATCACGAGGTTGCAGATTTGAATGAGAAAGCATCTCAGTGTCGAATGAATGTAAGTTTTTTTTTTGGAAAAAGCAGTGAACTTCGTGCACTCATTGTGTTTTTTGATGTATTTTTGCAAGATTGCAAGATCCTATCCACAATTAATATCCATCAAGAATTCCATATCCATGAATAAGTTATGTATGATGTGTGATCATATATGATGATTATTATAAAATAATATTATATCAATATCATCATCAATGATTATGTATATATATATATATAATCCACTTTACGATGTATCCATCCACTTAGCATTCGCCGTGCCAGGACGGAGACGTCTCAAACGTCTCAGGACCATGGGGCTCCACTGGAATTGGTAACAGGGTGACGGGGGTAATGGAACTAATTTCTGTATATCTCCAAATGGCTTGAACTATTTTATCTTGTTGAATGATTATAAGTTATGATAAGTTTGTTGTTGTTTTGTTGTTTCTTCTTTTTTGCTGAAAAAATGAGAAACATGGTACTATTGATCGATATTATGTAATTACCTCAGATACTTGAAGCCATCGGTTGCCATGATTGTTTGGGAGCCGGCCGTGCATCCTAGTTGCTAAGTGGTTGTTCATCACATTGTTCCATAATGTTCCATACTTACAAATTTGTTTGACTGAAAATAGTGTAGCGGAAAATGTGATGGTTGATCACAAGTTTCTTCCTTAAAAATCCGTTTGTGAGGTCCTGAGGTATCCCCGTTTTCAGGCAGACCCAAATTTGACCCAAATACCATTTTGCTGGTTCTATATATCGGATATCCCAACTATATCCTTATTCCAATAGTAAACTAGATATTAACCACCCCAGCCGAGTTACAGTATAATATATGATATGTATATATATATATATAGCAAACGGATAGTCACCATACTAGATATGACCCAACTACGTATTTGTATGGAATGTTCTCAGGTATAGAAACCAAAAAGATGGAAATGTGTTTTCACAATATGTATATATTCTATATTTATATTCTATATTTACATCTATATTTATATCTATATTTGTATCTATATCTATCTTTTATTTAAGCATATAAGCTTTTTTACACATATTTATAAGTATATGTCTATATATATATATACATGTCGGTTTATATGGGTTATGGACAACGTACTGAGCTCACTGCACATGGCTCCGCCTCCTATGGTTTAACCGGTGGTGTCGGTCTGGTGTCACTATTTGCCGCCAGGACGGCAATGCCCTTTTTGCGGAGGCCAAGCAAAAACGGCTAGCAGAATTTCAAGTGCTTAATTGAGGATCCAGGGATATCAGTACAATACAATACATAGATGTACCACTATACATAGATACCATTAGATACCACTCCTAAATATATATATATATAATTAGATATACCACTATACATAGATACAATACATAGATACCGTAGATACCATTAGATACCACTCTATATATATATATATAGCACAATTCCATCGATGCACGTGCAATTCATGACCGACGTCAGGCCCGACGTCGAGTTGCAGAGGAGCTGGTCGAGATAGCGGAGGAGCTGGGGGACAGCAGATCTGGATATCGGACTTGACCAAACATGGAGATTTCACTAAAATGCGGAGAAACCATGAAAAATTTGGATTTAGCTATGGAAAAAAATGGTGATTTAATTTACGGGAAATTTAACCATTGAACAATATGGTTTAAAAACTACGTTCAGAACAGAGATTTTTCAGGAATAAACATGCAGATTTCACCATCAGTAATGAAGATTTCACCAAAAAAAATGGTGATTTAAAAAAACACTCTGATTTAACCATGGGTTGCCACCTCCCGGAGGTCGACGTCACCGAAATGAGTCGGATGGTTTAAGATAACTATATAACATATATAGAATTATAGGGAATTATCCTTAAAATAGCCGAATTTGTCCGGAATCCATCCCTATCCATGATGGCTTTCACCACTCGAAGATTGCGGATATGATATGGTCAATCCACATGAATCAATATGTTTTTTTTTGATAAGTCGGGTTGTTATTGGGGGATTGACAGCTGATTAATCATTGGAATAGGGGGGTTAATAACTAGTTGGTGATGGACATGGAAATCAGAAATTTATCACATTCTAGCAATGGGAAAACAATCTACAAATGGGTCAAACTCTGAGGATGTAAAGAAATACCAGATGTTGACTCCCAAAGTTTGCCTCACTTTCTCCAACATTTGGCACTTTTGTGTTTTTGTTTGTGACGATCCTTATAAACGTATGTTACCCTCTGGTAAACTAACATAACTATGTAAAATCACCATGTTTAATGGGGAAACTCACTACAAATGGCAATTTTCAATAGCTATGTAACAAGCACCAGAGGGTGATTGGCCTGGATTTACAGCAGAGCACAACTCAGGGCACCACAGCAATCACACGACGTCGATGTGACGGCTTAGCACGTCGCTGGGTGAGGTGCGATGGGAAAAATGGATAAAGATGGGGAAATCCAGGCCTTTTGAATCCAGATCTGAATGAAAAAACATCAACAAAAAGAAGTTACATTCAAGGTAGTTGAATCTGAATTCAAAGTAGTTGATTTCAAGTTGCCCCATATATACATATATAATCATATACATATATTAATGATGGTTAATAAATGTTTGCCACGTTTGATTATGGTAACCCGATGGAGATTCATCAGATGCGAGACAGACGGAATGTTTTGGACCCATCCCCATTTCCAGGATGTGTGACATGTTGAAGGTAAACCTTTATTGCATCCCACACGTTATGAATGTGTTGGATTCAATCAATCCGTTTTCCTCTAGCTTTGTGTCAATTTGAACAGGAAATAGTGTGGTCTGAACATGTCTCAACCACAAGCACGTGTCAAATCATTTGACCCAGACTTATTTCTGTTTGTTATTTTGTTCATGTCCTGTGGAAATACGAGTTTCCAGCCTATAAGTGGTTGGTGGTTTGGAACATTTTTCCCCACCTGCCAGGTGAGGGTTGTTAGATTTTATGTCAGTTGCCTCCTCGTCCTCCTTCTCCTCCTCCTCCTTCTCCTCCTCGTCCTCCTCTCCTCCTCCTCCTCGTCCTCCTCGTCGTCCTCGTCGTCCTCGTCGTCCTTGCTCAACTGCGACCCGCGATCCACAGTGTTCTCTGCCGGACCTCAACCACGAACCATCCACGCCCAGTGTTCCCTGCCGGACCTCAACCACGACCATCCACGCCCAGTGTTCCCTGCCGGACCTCAACCACGACCATCCGCGCCCAGTGTTCCCTGCCGGACCTCAACCGCGACCATCCGCGCCCAATGTTCCCTGCCGGACCTCAACCGCGAGTATCCACGCCAAGTGTTCCCTGCCGGACCTCATGTAGGAAGATATGGGACAAAGAATGTGCAGAAGAAAGTTAGAAAGAATGTGCACCGCTGGACCTCAACGGCCAGATAGAATGCCAGAAGATATGCCAGGTGGAATGTCAGATAGAATGCCAGAAGATATGCCAGATAAAATGCCATGAGATATGCCAGATAGAATGCCTGAAGGTATGCCAGAAGATATGCGAGATGGTATGCCAGATAAAGTGCCAGAATGTTTGCCAGATAGAATGCCAGAAGGTATGCCAGATAAAATATCAGATAGAATGCCAGAAGGTATGCCAGAATGTTTGCCAAATAGAATGCCAGAAGATTTGCCAGATAGGATGGCAGAAGATATGCCAGAACATATGCCAGAAGATATGCCAGGTAGAATGCCAGAAGGTATGCCAGATCGAATGCCTGAAGGTATGCCAGAAGATATGCGAGATGGTATGCCAGATAAAGTGCCAGAATGTTTGCCAGATAGAATGCCAGAACATTTGCCAGATAGAATGCCAGATAGGATGTCAGAAGATATGCCAGAAGATATGCCAGATAGAATGCCAGATAGAATGCCAGAAGATATGCCAGAACATATGCCAGAAAATATGCCAGATAGAATGCCAGAAGGTATGCCAGATAAAATATCAGATAGAATGCCAGAAGGTATGCCAGAAATTGCCAGAATGTTTGCCAAATAGAATGCCAGAAGATTTGCCAGATAGGATGGCAGAAGATATGCCAGAACATATGCCAGAAGATATGCCAGGTAGAATGCCAGAAGGTATGCCAGATCGAATGCCAGAAGATATGTCAGATAGAATGCCAGAAGATTTGCCAGTAACAAATCGATAAATGTCATGGTGGGGATCACACGAAGTAAAGTAATTTTATTTTTTCATATATTGGGAATAGTAGCCCCAACTGACTAATATTTTTCAGAGGGATTGAAACCACCAACCAGTATAAGTTGTGTTTCTTTATCAACTTGCTCTACGTATTTGCTCAGAAACCTTGACAGGTTAGAGGTGCCTCATGGACTAAACTATATAAGCGAAAAAAGGGCCTGGGTCACCACTTCATATTACGGAAAACCATGGAAAACATAGGAAAAAAACAAGCATCGGAAGGTTGACCATGGTTTTCCCCTATGTTTTCCATGGTTTTCTGTAATATTGGGTGGTGAAAACCATGGAAAACATGTTCCGGACCAAGGCGTTATGCCGAGGAGGCTGCCAGGAGCTCTTTTCCGAAGGCCATCAATTGCTGCTCGATCCCCCATTTTCATAGACACCCAAATACTTATGGTTGGATATATATATATATATAATACTCGTATAATAATAATAGTTTTTTAATTATTAATAATAATATTAATAATAATAATAATAGTAATAATAATAATCACAATAATAATAATAATAATAATATATACACTATTTATATATACCATCTTTTTATATACCATATATATATATATATATACATTATTATTATATTAATTATATTAATTATAGTATTATTATTATATTTATTGTTATTATTACACACCATATATGTATAAAAGTCAATATAGACCATATATAGATACATCCCATAGACACTTCCATGCCACGAAGCATCCCAAAACAAAGTCGCTAGGAGTCTCTGGACGGCCCCCAGCTACCCTGCGCGGCGCTTTCGTCAGAACCTGCGTGAGGCGCGGAGTTTTCGGGAATTTTCGGCAGGGGAAATCGTCCCCAGAAAAAGATTGGTAGCCTCTGGTAAACTAAGCATGGCCACAGAAATAGTTGATTTGCCCATGAAAATATAGTGATTTTCCATTGGTATATTTCTGGAGATGATGAATATTCATGATTAATAGATGATTATTTAATGATGAATAATGATTATTAATGATTAGTTTTTGGGTATATAGATAGATGATTATTTACCACTGATTAATGATGAAGATTGATGAATAATGATGAATGATTATTCAATATTATTTACCAATGGTATATAGATAAACCATTAAAATGCTAGATGAATGATTTACCAAGTGTTTTGTTCAGTTTTGGGTATATAGATGATGCAAACAAAAACATTAGTCAATGATGGTCAGTTCCTTACAGCTACCCCAGTCATCATTGTTCTGCAATCCCCATGGATCATGGCCGCCATGGTCAGTTTTTGGAGATCAACGATGCAGAGCGGTAGATTTCTTAGAGAATGAATAGCTGATATGGTATGTATGTCATATAACGATATATATTTAGTATATTATGGTATATAGAATATGGTATTTAATATTGGTATACAATATGGTATATTATAATGTATCTACAGTATATATTATATTCTGCTTGATCCTTACTCCACATAACATGTTTGTCTCCATCCTCTTTGTCTGCACTGCTACACATGTGCCGTGACGCACAGGTAGGACAAAAGTTGCCCTTGTTGAGTTTCCCACAGTGAACATGTTTGGTTTCTTCTTCTGCACACCCTTTCCCCGTAGAATCGTAGCATGGAGCTTTGTCGTATCCCGGTCGCATTTCCACCCTCCACAAGCGTTAAAATCTTATAATTATATTTAAAAGAGGGTGGTAATTGACCGTCCCACACTTGAAACACAAAAAGGACTTGAAAATGTGATCCGCAGTTGACCGAGATGGATGTTTTGTAAAGCTTTCAAGAAGCATAAACTGTGTTCCTCCTGAAATATATATACATATAATATATATATATATTATATTATTCTACTGTATATAGTATATATCGATCACCATAGGATAACTACTGAAAATGTTTCTCTTACCAATGCATAAATATATATATATATATGTATACTGTATAGTGATCTTTTGGGCTCATATGTCCGGTCTAACGCCTATCACCACCAAGCTCTCCAGGGTGGAATCTGCATCATTGAGGCTTGGTGATGGAGTTGCTTCAAATTCCATGTTGGAGAGCATCAAACTGTCCAATGCTGTATCAAGAACATTGAAAAAAACACACGTTTGATCCTCTTTGCCGCTTTAGTATGCGTGTTCCATGTCGTTTTTTTTTTACAATCCACTTATTGCAATAATGCATAATAATGCTGCTTATCGACATCCGTTTTGACATTCTGAAATTCAGAAAAAGCTCACAACACCAAAGTCCTTTGATTTCAGAAGCATCAGTAACTACCCTCTGGTTATTCAACGTACCTTTGGAACATCACCATTCTGAACAGGCCCATCATCATGAATTTATCATCTATGGGCCATGGCATCCTTGTTGCTACGTATGTTTTTTGTAACTCAGATGGTGAGGGTTCCTTTCCCAGTGTTGACTGCGTATCCAGTCACTTGAACAACTGCTGTTTCCATGATGGATGCTTTATTGATTGGATTGGTTTAAGGGAAAATTTACAGGAAACCATAGATTTTAGATTTTCCTATTAAACATGGGTCTTTCCTGTAGATTTTTCCCTTAAACCAATCCATTGATTTATGGTATGCGATGATTCAATGGCACTATTGGGTTCACAGCTGTTCAACAGCTAGGGCCTTAGGGGACTCCCCCAGTCAGATGATAAGTTTATGGGTAACTTGATCCATCATCCAGACTTGGATGATGGGAAACTTGAAACCGGGTTTCCCCCCATCCAATTTCATGGTTAGAGAAAAAACATGGTTTCCGGTGAAGATTTTCCCAACAAAACCAATCCATCCATCCCCATGCCCTAGCAGCCGCAGCCAGGATGTCTTGGACTGGTCCCTGTTGCTGAAGAGTCACTCTGAGGCGGCTCAAGTCCTGAGTGAGGCCGGAATCACCGGCTGTTTTTTGGGTGAATTTGCGGTACTGAAATTGTGATAGATTATGGAAGTAATGATTATATCATATTATATATGTTATTACTATGTGTATATGTTTAAACATGAATATATATATATATATAGACATACATGTATCGATGATGTTTCAAACATGTTTCTGCTAGCGAGCATGAATTTCAGCCGTTGCCAAATGGTGAGGCATAGAATGCTCCAAATCCTGTGTTTTTGGGCGTCGCTGGGGGGAGCCATCCTGTCACCAGGAGGAAACTGTGTTGACAGTGCCATACTGTGCCGCCCTGAAGTTAGAGGATTACATATTTGCTTCCTCATACTTGGATGTGCATCCCACGAATCGGATCCGTGGTTCGTAATCCATGTATAACCCAATAACCCATAGTTCATCCCATTATATATATAATTACACATAATATGTATATATATACATAATAGGGGATATTCCATCGATCACTTGTTTTTTTCACCCATGTACTTGTTGTGGGGCCCAAGTCATCCCAAGCCATAGGGGTCACCGGAAACCCTCACCGCCCAGAAATGGGCGCCCTGCAGGAGTTTCGGGTCAATTGCAATGGACAGAGTCGTCACTGCTGGCATGTGGTTTTTCCATAGGTTTTTTCTGATTCTGGTGGGTATGTAATGTATTGGTTCTGATCTGGGAGCACTTGGTGACTCAGATTCTGCCCAAGAATATTTGGAAAACCATAGGAAAACCATATAGAAAGAAGTGATCCTAGGTTTCACCGTGACTTGACACGTGATGATCCATGGTCCCATCCGTTGGACTTGGGATCCATCCTCAAAATCTGGGTCACTTGCTTCGTCGTCATCTTGTAGGGAAAACATATGTTTTTTCAGAGTTGTTCTCTCATGTTTGCACTTGTTGTTCCTGTGGGATGTTCGAGTTATATACCCTCTGGTAATTTAACGTGGCTATTGAAAATTGCCATTTATAGTGAGTTTTCCCATTGAAAATGGTGATTTTCCATAGTTATGTTAGTTTACCAGAGGGTATATTTGGATTGGATGAGTGAATGATGGTCATTCCCCCAAATTTTCACTCGGCAAATGACCATGCGCCCATGGTTGGCGCCCATGAAGCGCCCATGGATTCTCCATTTTTCCCCACGACCTCCATATAGTTGGATTGGGCACAAAATCCCCACAAAATCCCTGACAGAATACACACATCGCAACCAACAACCGGAGGAATTATTTTAATAAGTCAACAAAGGATTTTTCATGAATAAGCGTCACAAACAAAAATCAGAACTAGATCCAAACTTCAACAGATTTGCTCATGAAATAGGTAGGCAATGTTAGGCAGTTTCAATCACATCTGTTTAAAGCAATTTATAAGACATACAATGCAACAATTCAATGAATTAGTGTCAGAATATGTCTTAGCACATCTGTCTGACAACACATCAGGAATTAGTGTCGGCAAGGTTTGGTTGTGTTGGTTTCCTCTCAATTCCTCCAGAAAATCTTGTGGAATGCATTCATTCCCATTTGTTTGTGTGTTCCAGTTCTGCTATATTCCTTTTAATCTCCAACTGTTTGCATTCTTCCTTTTTTTTGGGGACTTAGGTCGTTCAGGTATGTGTTCAGTTTCTTTTGCTAGACATATGTTTGATGTTCCATTTGCATTCTCTAGTGTGAAATTGAGATTGTATTTTGTTTCCAAAAGCACCATCTGCTCGTAGAATTGCACTTTTTGCCCTAGTTATTCTGTTGGTATTCTGTCAGGGTTTTTGGTGGGGCTTGTGATTATTTTGTGCAGGTGCAGGGTGAGTGAGTGGAAGATGGGCAAGTCCCATTCAACCTCCATGTTTTCATGGTCAGCGGAGCGGCCAGCGTCAGCCACAGCCAGGTTGGGCGGAGCTCATGGAATCGCAGCTGCAGGCGGATGTGCATCCCATCTGGTGAAGGGTTACAAGGGGAACATTTAAACTTATATCAAATGTAACTATTAATATATTATATGATATATAATATAACTTTATATATATATATATCTTTTTGACTCCAGGCTCAATGAAGCATCTCGCTGCGGCCTATCACAGTGAATTTCATATATAACTATATAGAACTATATAGTTATATATATATATAACTATATATAACTATATATAACTATATAATACTATATAATACTATATAATACTATATAATACTATATAATACTATATAATACTATATAATACTATATAATACTATATATACAAAACTATATATATATATAACCCATAGTTCATCCCATATATATATATAGATATATAATAAGGGATATTCCATCTATATCTGGTTTTTTTGAGCCATTTACAAAGTGGGATGCACCCGCAAGTGAGGGAATAATATTGATCATCATTGATGTGATGGGAATGAAACATGATATTATTCCTATCAATTATACGTCATAATCATCGATATCATTTCATGAAAGGAAGGAAATGAGAACTCATACTATAATATATAATGATAATATGGGGACATATATGATAACAACAATAATATATGATAATATAAGGGAATCAACATCTTTAATCTGGGGATGGCGAATATAACAATGATAATTCATCATGATATTCATTGCCTCAAAGAGACACAAATTCATTGATCTTCTGCATTCTAGCAGCGCAAGATGGGCTCTCAGTGCCAAATCATGGATTTCAGCTGCCGGTTATGTATCAAGTTCGTTAGATATTTTGTTTCTCCTAATTTTGTGAAAATGTAAGAATCTCAGGTGTTTGGAAGTATCTTCTGATCATCATTTTTTTGAGACCACTTGAAATCACATTTTTCTGTTCCAAAAACACACCATTTTGTATGTTCAATCTCTATTATTTTTCAACATGTTGACAGCCCTTTTTTCCACAAATCTCTATTCGTTGGCACAGGATGCAGGGTGTCAAGGCTTGGCTACGTGTGTGACCTTGTACCTCCGCCTAAAATGGAATGTGAGCCACACATGGGACACGAAAAGCATAGTTTAAGCGTTGAAGATCTAGACGTTATGCAACCACTTTTAAGGGATTTTAAGGGAGCAGTTGAATTTTTATTAGTTGAATTATGTTGAATTAATCAACATGTTGGCGAGATCGCCATCAACTGATTGGTGCTTTGAAACTTGTTCGATTCGGCGATGATTCTGTGGGAACGCATGAAACAATCAGTCACAAGAGTAGGCTGATCACACAGGTTAGGTTTTGATAATATATATATATATATACATACAAATTCATTCATTCATTCATTCATTTCATTGCATTACAATGCACTACATTGCATTAAATTACATTGCATCACACCGCATTAATTACATTACATACATACGGAACTGATGTGATGTGATGTGATGTGGTCTGATGTGATATGATATGGGATAATGTAATGGATTTTCACATTATATACATACATACATACATTACATTACATTGCATTGCATTACAATACATTACATTACATTACATTACATTACATACATACATATTTACACCCATATATAGATGTTACGTTTATGCATGTTGCTGTCTATATGTGGACAGCACACCGCAATAAATTGTATATATATATATACACACTGTACAACAATTCATGGGAATATATGGGAATATGCGCACTGAAGGGGTGACTAGCTATAGGTACATATGGTACAACACCCGGCAGTGGAAATCCAGAGTTATTTGGGGGTCAAAGCCCTGTACCCCTGGTGAATATCCAAATAGCTCAATGTCAATTAATATGTTAATCACTCTATTGTTTTCATCTGTAAATATTGACCAAAATACATATTATGTATATAATATATATATATATATATATATGGCAGTGTGTCAAAACCTTGTACCCCTGTAGTTCACATCAAAATAGCTGGGATTTATGGATGTTCATCCCACTAAAAATGGTATTAATAGGTATTGATCCATACCCATATATTGGAATTCCAGATATTATTAACCATAGATTATTAACCATAGATTATTAACCAGTGATATTAACCAGTGATATTATTAACCATAGATTAACCATTAATTTATTCAAACATGAATCTATTTATATTTGTATCTACTTAAAAGTGCCTCGCCTGAGGCTGCATCAACTCCAGTGGAGTCTCAGTGATCACTGCTGGGGGTCATCCAAGGACCGCGAAGTCATGTGGGTTTGCCACAAGAATCAACCACCCACTTGATGGCTTTGTTGGTTGTGGTTCTGTAACATACTATACTACATATATATATATACACATATATACGTATAGATAGATAGATAGATCGATAGATAGATAGATAGATAGACAGACAGACAGATAGATAGATAGATAGATCGATAGATAGATAGATAGACAGACAGACAGACAGATAGATAGATAGATAGACAGATAGACAGACAGATAGATAGATAGATAGATAGACAGATAGATAGATAGATAGATCTAGATGTTTAACATCCGAAGTCGCTAGGATGGAGGTTTTTCAAGCTATATGTTCTGCAGGCCTTGATGACACTGGCCACCTTGGTCCATATGGGGGTTTCCATAGTCATGGGGATACCACGAATAGCTGGATGGTTTATTTCAGGGAAAATCCATCTATAAATGGATGAGAACTGGGGGTAGCTCTATTTTAGGAACCCCCAGATCGGGTTTTGTCAAGGAATGTGAAGTAATGGCAACAAGTGTTGCTGGTAAGTAGTGTGAAGTAATGTCGAGCAGTGTTAAGTAGTGTCAAGTAATGTTAATCGTGATACAACAGGGATACTATGATGGTATATGTATCGCCAATAAAGATTTAGTGGGTTATAAGAATCGCATAAATTTGGGATGTCCGTTTCATCACTTTTAGGGATATCATGGGGATATCATGGGAGAGATCACCAAGGTGGAATCCCAACATTGGGATGGCATCCCCTCCGGTGTCCTCAAACGTGACTGAAAAAAATCAGAAATGAATGTTTCAATGGTAGAATGATATCTACAAACCTTGGATTTTCCATTGCCACGTTTGATTACCGGATGGTAATTCATTTATTTGGTAATGTTGGTTTTGTGCTTCACAATGGAACCCCAACAAATGCTGAATTTAACGGTGATTTTTAATCACGGGATTGGCCGGGCCTGGCTGGGGGCCGATTTGTTAAGCCATAGCTACATGGGTTTGTTTCAACATATGTGCCATGGTCAAAAGATGTCAAAAGTTATTTAGACCCACCTGCCAGGTCTAGATTTTATTAGAGCTGCATGCTGCCCACCACCTCCTCCTCCTCCTCCTCAACCTCCACCTCCCGCCCCAGACTCCGCCCTCAACCGCGAGCGCCAGATCTCAGTGGGCACCGCCGGATCTCAACCGCGAGCGCCAGAGCTCAGTGGGCACTGCCGGACCTCAAAGGCGAGCGCCAGAGCTCAGTGGGCACTGCGGCAAGATGTCACATAGAATGTCACGTAGAATGCCAGAACATATATAGGCATGCTCAGGACGTGACCTTGCTGGTGGCTCGCAGCAACAGATCGGGGTTGGCATACCAGGCAGTTTGCACACATCTTCTACACGCATGGTGGGGATCACTCGAAGTAAAGTAGTTTTTTTCTACCAGCGGGTGATGACCATCCCCTGAAGGAATGGGGGTACATTTATGTATATATATATATGATGATATATGTTATATTTATATATAATTTATATGTTATTTAAATATATACAATATATATATATATATATTATAATTTCTTGTATAATTAGAGATGATATATAGCATAATTTTATATAAATTATATGTATATATATATATATATATGTTATATATGGGATATGTACATATTATATACATATATATATATATCTATTATCATTATATAATATATAAGTTACCTATGTTTTTTGGGAATCCCATTGTTCAGACCGGTGGGATGACCCCCTCAATCGCAACACCGTGGGCACGACCAGGCTCCCGGGGCTCCCGGTTTTCGCCGCTGCAGTGCTGCTGGCTTCGGTTGATGGCTGCGTTCACTGCGTCGCTGGATCTACAATTACAAAGCAAGACCAACTATTAACAACACAATTATTGTATTAACATAATTGTTATATGTGTATGTATATAAAATATGTATGTTAACAATAACTATTAACAACTATTAACAGCTATTAACAACATTAAATGTATATATATATAATATAAACTGGATTCATCAGCTATAACACATATACATATTTTATATACATATATACATTTATATAACAACTGGTTTCGATATCAACAACAAAATCACATCGGATATGCCATATGCCACAGCCATGTATTAGATCGATTTTTTTTTGGGGGGGGGGAGGAGGGCGGGTGGATTTTCTTAGGCAGTTGCCGCAGCCAGGATGGTCGAGTTCTGGCGAGGCGCCCGTTGGGTGAATGCCTGCGCTGAGAGCCGTGGTGTCACTGTGGCAGGTGACTTTATGGCAATCCATACCCGCCAAAGAGGTGCTACGGAGAAGGTTAAGTCAATGGGAATTTCAGGATCCTAAAATGGAGGTACTGTACCATATAAGGCCATATTTTGTGGGGATATTCCCTTACATAGGCCTTACATAGGCCTTATATATGGTAGGTACCTCCAATTTAGGAACCTGAAATGGCCATTGATTAAGTCAGAGGGTGTGTTGCGAACCTGAGGAATGTTGATAGTGTATATGTTTAATATTGTTTAATTATTTTTATATTAATGAGTTTAATGAGTTTAACTCGCAATCTTTCATAAAGAGTATTAAACATCCTGCAAGCAATCCTAAAGAAATAGAACATACGTGTGCTATATTTACTATACAACTATACAGAATCATGAGCTTCAATTTGACCATAGCTCATCGTAGTGAGAAGCCTTGCTTCGCAATTTCCCACTCATTCTAAGCTGTGAATACGCATTGCCACGGGAAAAACGCATGTTCATACATTCATCGTCCCCACGGGTTTCGTATCTCAGCTAATCATGCAATATAGTTTCTCAACCAGCATTCGATCATTTATGGACCGTTAAAAGATCATCGTTTGAAATGCGGTTATTGTCGTTGAAGAAAATATGCTTGGCCCTGTAAGTTTTTATAATTATATATATATATTTATGTAGTCCTCCCCAAAAGATAGGTTACAGTAAAATCCCACGAAAAAATAGCGCAGGTATTGGTTGTTTTATCCACACATCCCCAAGCTTGGATGATCAGGGTGGTACTCCTCCAATGGTCACAATCCAAATACTTAAATGGTACCCCCCCAATTAAAGCGCCGTTTGGGGTTTATTAATCCAGGGTTGACATTAAATGGATAATGACCAGCCAACCAGCAAAAGAATTACCATATTTTTTTTGTGGACTATCAAAGATTGACCATGTTTACATAGGACAGGCTGGTTCTATGTTTTGCCCCCAAGATCGAAGTGGAAGCCAGGAGTCTCCGGTGTCAAGTTCCAAGTTCTTGGAGGACGGACAGTCACGTTATAAAGGCCTAGCATCTGTTAAAAAAAAGGACTTTGCTCTCGATAGCCATTCTTCATCGGAAAATCATCTATGATTATGGCGAATTTTCCAGTTCACAAAGTCAAAGAAAATACCATCTTGTAATTTAACATAAAGCTATTGAAGATGGCAATGTATAAATATTTATAATGGATTTACCCATTGAAAGTGGTGGATCTTTCCATAGTTTTATGTTAACGTTTACCAGAGGGTACCAGAAACTATCATCCCGCTGGACTATGGAAGGTTCACCAGAATGGGGCGATGACGCCCGACTGTCTGGTTCAACGGGGAAAATCTCTACCGGAAAACCATGGATTTTCCCATGTATGGGGGTGTCCATGGGTGTCCGATTTTTTTTTGTGCCACCAATCCATTGAGTTTTACGTGTGAAACTGTACTCTCTGGGTCGATGAATCTAATTGGCGTATTTTTTGCGCGTTTGGTCGTTTCTATATGGGATGCTATTGGAAGGTCGCAGCATGTCATGAGTGCAGAAGTAAGCCACAATTCTAGATCAAAGTCTCTACAGTTACAGGCTGTCAGAAAGTAGTGGGTAGTTTGAGGTCCATTGAAATTGACCTTAGTGGTGAGGGCCAAAAGCATAGTTACAGGGGCCCCAAAACCCAACTTACCGAACCTGAAAATGCTGGAATCACTCTTTGGCTATGGCCATCAATGGGGAGAATGATGAGACATCGGAATTGGGGAGTCTCCCAAAAAAAAGACTCAAAAAGATAGCCGTAAGTAAAACCCGACCAGAAATCAACTGGTGGTAAATCTCTTTCGGTATCTTTCTTGGGGGGTTGCTATCCCTTATTTGAATAGACATGAATGGACCAAGTCCATGGCAAGGACGTCTCGGACTCCGAAACGTCCTTGCTGGCAATCCTTTTCCTGCACCTTGGTCCAGATTGCCACGTTGCGGGATGAGGGTCTAGCTATGTCCAGCTGGTCATTGGTGGTTTGAGCTGCAAAGATGTTGCCAACGTGATTGACTGACCTCCAAATTAGTTTTTTATAATATAGGTTGAAACATATGGGGGTTTCCATAAATGGTGGGAATCCCCCAAATGGATGGTTTATAGTGGCAATCCTATTGAAATGGATGATTTACGGGTACCCCCATTTTAGGAAACCCCCATATGATAACCATAGGATTTGGGGCGTAACCTATTTTGAGACCGACGCATTTGGGGCCATTTAATGTGCCAACATGTCATTGTTCTGCACAAGACCTCCAGCGACCATGGAATCACTACCCAAGAACAGAAGATCAAAAGCAAGGGTTTCTGCAATTAAATGGGGGTTCCATAAATGGGGGTACCCCAATAGCTGGATGGTTTATAATGGAAAATCCATCTATAAATGGATGATTTGGGGGTACCCCTATTTCAGGAAACCTCCGAGTGATGTTCCAAACTAAAAACATTGGAATCCTACACTCCTTTTGAGCACTGGAATGACACTCAGGAATACACCTTGTTGGCGCCCTGATTGGGGTGGTGCTTTGAGGCCAGTTGCCGGGCAGAGGATCAAAGATGGATCTGTTGTGGTTAGCTCTAGATCCCCTGAAAAAATTCGGAAGTGTTTGGGGTAGATTTTTTTCCTTTGGACTTTAAGTACCTTCTATTCGAAAGTGTTTGGAACCATTTCTGGGGGTTTTCTTGCAAAATCATGTTCAAAGAAGGCAGAATCGCAGGGGATGAGAGACAGAAGATGGCAATATGTTGACAAGTTAGTCGACAGGGAAGCGCAGTGTTGCTACTCACTTGGATGTGGGAAATTGTAGATGAATTGCACATGGGTTGTGAATGGGTGACAACATTATACACACATTTACTTTATATATATATGCATATAAATTATACACCCATTTATATATATATATATATACATGTGTCATAGTCGTACCGTGGATGAAGTTGCACATGTTTAACGCTGGGTGGTCATCAATCCAAAAACAACAGGATTCCTTGCAGGTGCCATGACCTTGAAAGAGGCATTTCTCGTGACGTTTGGGGAGATGGTGGACGCATGGTGCTTTTGGAAGAGGCAGGGCCTGGCTCAGTTTGATGTTTTTTGTTGCTTAAGATTGATGGGTTTGCAGCACGGAAATCTGGAATGTGAATTCTGGAATTCTGTCTGAAATCTGAGGAAATCGTACAGTGTGCCAGTACAGGCACGTAGTGTATGGATATTGTAGACACATGTGTCGTTGAATATGATTGTTTATTGCCGGAAGTGTCTTGCAAGCAGAACACACACACACACACTCCACATTTGAATTATTTGGAGTTGATGAAGCTGCCATCAGTTGGCGAGAGGCTACAGCTTCTCATGAGCTGTTGGCGGCCTCCAAAACTCAGACAGTTTCAACCTCAGTGAGGGTGGATGCATGGACCACATTCTTCGATGCTTGCTGAGAAGTTAGCCATGAACAAATACCCAACTGCTGATTGGTTGTTCTTTTGGGGTCATACAGTACTACTACTTGCTCTAATGCAGATTATTCATAACCAATCCCAGGAAAAAATACATAAATATGTTCTAAGTCTATGTTTTTGGCTGGTGTTCTAAGTGTATACTTAGAACACATTCCGCCGAATTTTTGATCTTTGTTTTCCACATATAGTGTTTTAAGTGTAGGTCCTTAACTATAGATCAACCTTTTAATTAGATCAACTTAGATCAACCTTTGAGTTGAGGACCTAATTAGTTTAGATCTTAATTATAGTGTTCCAATTAATGTACATATCATGTCCTAACATGTCATTAACTATATTTTACTTTAACATACTTAATATATGTTGATCTAATGTACATCATTTAGATCAACCTTTTAAAATAGCCATGACCTGGGAACCCTGGGAAGCCTGGGAACCCTGGGAACACGGAAACACCGGATGGGACTCGTGGCACGCGAAAGGAACCATAAAAACCAATGGGATATTTTTAGGGATATGAATGGTTAATGATGGTTAATAGTGGTAAATAATGGTAAATAATGGTTAATGATGGTTAATAGTGGTTAAATGTGGTTAATAAATGTTGATAATGGTTAATGAGATAACTGGTTGGTGACTGGAACATGGCTGGTAAATGACTTTCCAGAAACAGTTGGGAATGGAAAAATCCTCCCCTGCCTGACGAGTTGTCCATCATTTTTCAGAGGGGTAGGGCTCAACCACCAACCAGAATAAAGTTGTTGATTTTCCCTCAAACCAATTCTGGGATGGTACCTTTGCGAGCTTCATGTCGGCTAAAGGACATTCCGAGGTCCGCCGAATTTTTCGTTGGTGAAATCCATCGGCAAATTTTGGTGGGTTAAATCCCTAACGTCTTGTTGGTTTAAATCCCAATGTCTCATCCATTTAAAAAAAATAAATCCCATATATAAAATATCAATATGTCCTGTTGCTTGATATCATTGTGTATCTAAATCCCAATGTTTTCATGCTATTTAAATCTATTTAAGTATAATGTTTTCTTGGCACATGTTATCTCGTTTCTTGATGATATCTGAATGTCAATTATTATATTATATTATTATTATATCTAAGTCATCAACAAATGAGATATATAACTGGTTTGTGGTTTGGAACATCTCTTTTTTTTCCATTTGGGAATGTCATCATCCCAACTGACTTTCATATTTTTCAGAGGGGTAGGTCAACCACCAACCAGATAAGATTTTTGCCAAGAAAAGTGCATGACATCTCCATAGTTTTCTTGGCATCCCAGAATGTTTCCCAAGATATCCCAAGATCTCTGCGGATCAGGTACTGCTTCTGCGCCTGCGAAGGTCGGTTTGTGATCTGTGTTTAGATCACGGGAGGGCTGGGGACTGGTGCTGAAGTTGCGACAGATTGCAACAGTCAATAGCCGTTACCCTCTGGTTATTTAACATAGCCATGGAAAATGACCCATTTATAGATGATGTTCCCATTAATACCTCCATTTATAAGGGATTTTCCATGGTTATGTTAAATGTTAAATAACCGGATGGTATGTATTTTCAGTAACCAGTGTTGTTTTTTGTCCAGCTTGTACTTGTCGGATTTTGTCGGATTTCCAGGGAATGTCGGGGGTAAATGGTCATCAATCCATCTTAAGGGGATTCATATACCGTAGCCATTCTGTTTGGATTTGGCATGGGATGAATGACTCATACCATAGAAATATATATAGAAATCATCCATAAGCCACATGCAACTTGATCATAGCACCATGACTCGTGCTGAGAGAAGATTCATGGAATGATCTGTCAGGACCTGCGGGATCACAAGATTCGAGCGCAGCACGACAGTCATGTTTACAAAAAATCTATCCCATAGGATCCATGTATGCTATATATGGTAACATGGATCCCATCAATATACCCCAGTCATGTTAGCATTTTTCTACCAGCACCAGCCGGATCCTATATCTATAATCAAACATGGCGGAAAATCAGGGAAAAAAATCCACATCAAAAAAATCAAAAGGACACGTGTGGAATGATCTTTCCATAGGATTTTCCACGGAGCTGATGACCCGCCGTGGATCCAGTTGCAGTCGTTGCGCTGTCGAGCTGTCCATGAAGAGAAACAGAGCTGTCAGGAGTCCAAAAAACAGGTATAGATACTCCAGATACCCAACATGATTTTTATGGATTTTGATGGATGTTTCATATATTTTCCAGATACATATAAAATATTATAAAATACCATGACCCATCCAGTCCGGCGAAAATCTAAGTCACTGTACCTCCACAACACCGCCATTTACAAGGTGATTGACATCGGAGGACCATTCCAGATGAGAATGATATAATCACTATGCTAGATATAATAGATATATAAATGTGTAGATCGAACTGGTTAAACGGGGTATAAACCAAATGAGAACTTCGTGGGCACCACATTGTATGGAATCATCATCACCTCTAACGTTCGTATATGACATCGAATTATCATCACCTCTGACGTTCTTCAGCAACAGCCATGCAGCGATTTTGTGGTCGCCCAGTGCTGCCAAAACTCTTGTGACTGGGTTGAGCATACGGTACCTTTGACTTTTGTGCCATTGCGTGGGCCAAAGTCAGAGAAAATTCATGCTTCAAGTTTTCATCTTCAGTTTCAGCTGTCAATGGATTAGTTGAAGGGAAAAAATACAGGAAAGCCATATATTTGATGGGGAAAACCATGGTTTCCTGTTTTCCCTTGAAGCAATCCAGTGAAGCTGACACCGCTTAGGTGCTGGTGTCCTGTGATACCTGGGCTAGATATATCATGAGTTTCGAAATTCATGGAGAATCCAGCTTCCATGTGCTTTCCTACAACATCTTCCTACATCACAAATCTTCCTACATCTTCACAAATCTTCCTACATCGATCTCGCGCCTTCGAAATTTCAGGTTCCTTTGCCCATGGCTGGCGACCATGGCATTTCTGGTGCCTCGTCCCGTAGCTCCGGCACCGGCACTGCGTGGAATGGCCAGAATGGCCAGGTCCGGCGGCGAGGTGGCTGTACCTCGGCGTCATGGATGATGGTTGTTAAATGTTGTTAACCTATACGACAATGGTCTCTGGTTGGTGGTTTCGAAGATTTTGGATGTTCCATTTCATATACAGAACACATTTTTTTGGGTTGTCATCCGAAACCCATTGACGAACTCATATTTTTCAGAGGGGTTGAAACCACCAACCAGTTATGGTCATGGTTAATAATTGTGGTTAATAATTGTTAATAAATGTTAATAATGGTTAATAATGGGATTACCCTCTGGTAAACTAACATAGCGAACTGGAAAATCAGCATGTTTAATGGGTAATTCAACTATTTCTATGGTCATGTTCAATAGCAAACTGTTATATTACCAGAGGGTACCAGGGGGGATCCATGTTTGGTGTATGATCTATTAAGATCTAATATCTATTGGCTATTGGGGTCTAGAAATCAATCGAAGTTCAGCCAATTTTTCAGCATATTTACAGTAAATTCCATGGTAAGTTCTAACTTTGGGATGAAACACGGGAACATGGAAAACAGCCATGTAAATCATAGGTAATCTACTTGGTCGCGACCTCGAGGTCGACCAGTGGCTGCTGTGTTCGGCCCCTCTTGAAGTCTGTTGGTTGGTGATTACTTGGAGTGTTATACTACTCATGAATGATGATCAATTATTGATGATCATGTTGAGATGTATATGGTATAATCACTTTTGCTGGCGATCCCATAGCGAACTATCGGAGTGTCTTTGGGATGCCATTATCTAGACAGCCAGTCCCTGGAAATGCACAGTACACCAAGATGGAATGCTAGTGATTCAGTATGCCCCAGACACTAGTGGCTGTGGTTAAAACAATGTCATGTTTACCATCCCCCAGTCATCATCATTTTTATAGCTGGTACGTTTACCATTCCCAGTCATGGGTGGTTTATGACATTGTTTTACCGACATTATCGCTTTAAAACCCCTGTGCAAGAAAAACATATTTGCCACACGTCCAAGTCAGTGATTTTCTCATGCCTCAAGTTGCCTCCTTGCCTCATAGGCAACCGCCTAACAAAATGTCTTGGCCAAATCAAAATACTGTGACAAAACATTGGCAATGTTTGGCCATGATTTTTTTCTGGCAGCAATAGATGCTAATTGGATCTAAAAAAGCTAGTTTTATGTTCCACCATGTTCCACCATGTTCCCTAGGTGTTTTTTTCTGTTTGTAGCCTGAAAGAATGCTGTTTTAGCTAACATGTTTTGCCATGTTTTACCATGTTTTACCATGTGTTACCATGTTTTACCATGTTTTGCCATGTTTTGCCATGTTTTGCCATGTTTTACCATGTTTTGCCATGTTTTACCATGTTTTGCTATGTTTTGCCATGTTTTACCATGTTTTACCATGTTTTGCCATGTTTTACCCCAGGATTTGAGTATTTGTTTCCCATTGTTTTCGTCGCCAAAGGAGATGGTCTCTGCCAGCGATGTGTCGTCGAAAGCCTCCTTCCGGAACGCCACGGAAGAGGATCGTCGAAATGCGGAAACTGCATATGCGATTTGGTGCAGATGGTAGGAGCCCCCACTTTTTGTTGGTTTATGTTTAACAAAAAATAGATCACCATGGTAACAGAGTAATTTTATATAGAATATAGATGAGGTGATGGCTGGATGATGGCTGGATGATAGCAGATGAGGCTTTAAGGTGGGTTGGTCTAAAAACAAAACGGGTACTTCACCTGTAAATCCATAGGTTAATGATCAGCTTCCCTCTTAAACAGTCATTTTATGGGTATACGGTTTACCCCATTTTCAGACATACTCAAATGTTTAAGCCTAAGTCGCAGGGATAGCAGCAGTGAAAAGAGTGACCCCACCGCTCATTGGCTTGTAGCGCTTCCAGTGGTGACATAAGGAGATTTGGAAGGATCAATTTCCATTAGC